CGGGGTAAGTCGAGGGGGGGGGGGAAGAAGATCGCGCGGCGGGGAAGAACGGCGCGTGGGGGCCGGGAAATCACGCGGGAAATTGCGCGGGGTTCGGTGAGGGGGGCTGAAAGGACGGTTTGTTATGACCCTGGCCAATTTCGAGATACACATCCACTGGAAAGCACAATGCCATCCAATTGCAGAAAGAAATGAATGAACTTGAGAGGAGAGAGAGTAGAAGAAGAAGAACAAGTAAGAAAGAAGAAGAAGAAGATGTACACCAGCAAAGACAATGACAAGGCTCTTCTTCTTCGCCCAACAATCTCCCCCTCCTTATCTCCCCCTTCTCTTATTCATACAAGAAATAATAATACAATGTTGAATAACTGGTCCAGAATCATGTCCGAGTCCCTTTTCTGCTTTAGGTATCACTCAAGGTCCACCATAGCCATGGCCGCCTCTCCCACTCTTCACACATATAGGCCAAGGCTATGGCGGACTACTAGGCCTTGCTCCGACGTCCAAAGGACAACCCAAAGCAACTATGGCTGCTCTAGCTCAGGCCGCCATGCCCAGCCCTGCCTTGAAGCTTCTTGGTGTAGCTCCCCCGGCTGGGGACTACTTGCTGCAGCGCCCACCAAGGTGATGAAGATGGCTGCCACCATAGCCAGGTAAGTACCCCTGGCGCTCCTCCCCCTTCCTCCTTCCTTCCTCCTTCTTCCTCCCTCTAGTCCTTCTTCCTCCCTCTAGTCCTTCTTTCTCCCCAGCTCCAGCGCTCCACCAGTGTGTCGCCAAACTTGCACACCGAAAAAGAGCCCGGGTCTTCTGCACGGTCGGAAGATATAGCGGCCTGCTTTGCCTCTTGGGCGGTGACTACCAGGCCGCTGGCCTTCCCAAGCAACCGGTACCTCCTCCTCTTTTTGGAGGGAACATCATTGCAGACTCTGATATTGCCCCTACAGGCCCTAGACTCAGACTGGTACCCGCTAGACCTAGCCTACACTACCGGCCTCTAAAAATGAGACTTTTGTCTTCTTCTACTCGGCCTCCGGTACCTGCATATTTACCCCCCTGCCGGGTGCGGTACCGGCCTACCCGCTACTTGAGTGCTTTTTCCCCGCTGCAACCCTTCTAAGCCACGGCCATAGGTAAGTACCGGCCCTGAGGGCCCAATGAACGAACAAGTGCCCTGGAGGGCCACACACACACACACACTCATACCAACCAGCACTCAGACAGGCACACACACACATGCAAGCCAACCGGCACTCAGACAGACATGCAGTCCAGCAAGCACACACACACACAGACTTAGCAGGCGGGGAACTCAGTAGGGCATTCAGTCTATGAGCAAAACTCAGAAATCAGCTGTGTGTTTCAGTCCGTGTTTGGACGGGATATCACACTACCCCCCTCTCAAGAGCGAGGTCCCTTCGAGCGAGTAACTCATTCTGAGTCCTCGGCAAACGCATCGTAGGCGAGCAAGGCAAAGATATTCCTGGAATACTCTGTTGCAGAGAGCCTTGCTGAGATCTTCGGTGTGGCGTTAGCGGCGATCTGTCGCTCGCAACCTTTAACAACGCGCGGTGCGCTGCGTAGCAGTCCCTGTTTGGAGATCGAGTAGAGATCGTCTAACGGGTGATACATGAAATGAACCTGGTACTGTCTGTTTCTCCCCTTACCTATATGCTGTTTAATTCTATCTATCTCATGCCCGCCCTTGATTGCGCGAGGGATCATATCTTCGTGGTACTGTCTGTTTCTCCCCTTACCTACATGCT